TGAACTGAAAGATAGTCTCTTATAAAATGGAATAAAATGTGTAATATGTTGGACAACCAGTAAGTAATTGGTGAAGGAGAAGCAAAGAAGAATAACAATAATATAAATTCATGGTGTTGGATTATAATATAATTGTCAGTTGCTACATTAGATAAAAACAGTCTGAAATCCTCCTTTAAAGAATATCATTGAAAGTAGGGTATCAGAGTCCCCTACTATTATTATATTGCTGTCTATTTCCCCTTTTAGTTTGGTTAATACTGGCTTTACATATTTAGGCACATCCATGTTGGGTACATAAATATTTACAATTTATATTCCCTTGATTAACTGATCCCTTTATTGTTATGTAAATGATATAAAATCTTTGTTCATTGTCTCATAACAGTTTTTGGTTTAAATTCTATTTTGTCAGAGATGAGTATAGCTTTTCCTGCATTACTCTGATTACCATTTACATAGAACATCGTTTTTCATTCTTTCACTTTTACTCTCTGTGTGTTTTTAAAGCTGATGTGAATCTCATGTAGGCATCACAGAATTGTGTCTTTTTTTCTTATCCAACCACTCTGTGTCTTTATTTGGAATATTAGTATATTTACATTTAAAGTAATTATTGATAGGTATGTGCTTACTATTGCCATTTTTGTAATTGTTTTTTGGTTGTTTTGTAGTATCTTTGTTTTTCTCTTCTCTTGCTGTCCTCATTTGTGATTTGATAATTTTTTTCATAGTGGTATGCTTTGATTTCTTTATCTTTTGTGCATCTACTATAAGTTTTTGTTTCATAATTACCATTCAGATAAAACATAACAATCTGTTTTAAGCTGATAATAGTTTAACTTTGAACACATACATAAGTTCTACATTTTTACACCCCCCCTCCCTGCATTTTATATTTTACTTTTCAAAATGTACATGTTTTTGTCCTGTGTATTTATTAAAAATTATTGTAGTTTTAAAATACTTTTGTCTTTTAACTTTTATACTAGTTATAAGTGATTTACCCACTATCTATATTAATGTATTTTGAATTTAACTGTATATTTACCTTTACTAGCTAGTTTTATACTTTCATATGTTTTTATTTTAATAATTCTCATTATTTCATGTCAGTTTAATAACTTATCTTAACATTTCTTTTAAGGCCAATCTAGTGGTTATAAATCTCTTCAGCTTTTGTTTGACTGGGAAACGCTTTCTCACCATTAATTCTGAAGAGCTTTGTCAATAGAGGATCCTTGGTTGGCAATTTTTTCCTTTGATCCCACTCTTTTCTGTCCTGCAAGGTTTCAGCTACAAGAAATCCACTGTTAGACTTATGGACTTTTTTTTGTGCATAACAAGTTGCTTTTCTCTTAATTCTTTTCTCTTTCTAAGATGTTGTCCTTGTCTGTAATTTTTGACAGTTTAATGGCAATGTGTCAGTGTGGGTCTCTTTGGATTAGCCTTATTTGGTACTAGGCTTCCTGGATCAGGATGTCTGTTCCTTTCCCCAAGCAGGGAAGGTTTTAGCCATTATTTCTTTGAATAAACTGCCTTTTTTTCTCACTTTTCTCTTTCTGGAACCTTTATAATGTGCATAATTGGTCTACTTGATGGTGTCCCATAAATCCCTTAAGCTTTATTCACTCTTTTTCATTTTGTTCCTCTGATTGTGTGAATTCTACTGCTTCGCCTTTGAGTTCATAGATCCTTTCTTTCACTTGAGTTAGTCTGCTGTTGAAACTCTTTATTAAATTTTCCAGTTCAGTTACTGTATGCTTCACTCTAAATTTGGTAATTTGTAATATTTTTTATCATTTCATTGAAATCTTGCTTTGTTTATGCATTGGCATCCTGACTTTGTTGTTTTCCTTATGAATCATTATTTTGAACTATCAGATAAATCACTTACCTCTTTTTCATAAGGATCTGTTTCTGGAGATTTCTCTTTTTCTTTTGTTTGGAACATATATATTTTTTTAATTTTCCTCAACTCTCTTCATCGTTTTCTGCATGTTAGGTAAAATAGCCACTTCTCCCAGTCCTTCCAGTGGTCAGATGAACCTCATCAGCCAGCCTGGCCCAAACTCCTAGTTCTCTGTCAAACTTATGTGATTTTTTAAGCTGCCTTCCTTGTTCTTAGTAGAACTAGTACTTGAGGGTGTGCCAAGACCTGTCAGTATGGCTGAGGAGAGAGTCATAGTCAGCATCCCTTATTATATGTGTATTTTTTCATATGCCTGACATGTAGGAGTTGATCAGCTAATTTCTGAATCTCTTTCAGAGGGATTTGCTTCTTGTGTAACTACACATTCAATCAAGCTGTAACTTACCAAACTAGATCTCTTTCCCTCCATTGATAAATCCTGTCAGTTTCTGAAGTCTCTGGAATCTGTTCATTCTTTGTTATATCTAACATTGATGCTCTAGTCCAAGCTATAGTCCTCTCTTCTCTGATCTACCAAAATTAAATCCTTATTGACCTGTCAGTATCTACTGTGGTTCCCCTTCAGTCTGTTTTCCATAGTGCAGTCTGGTGATCTTTTCAGAATGCAAATCTAATTATGTGTTTCCTAGCTTCCATATATACCTCAAGCTTTTAAAAACCTTTCGTTAGAAATTATTAACTAGATTTCCATCCAGCCCTTTACAATTTCTGCAACCAGTCTTGCTCGAGCATTTCCTTTTTATATAAATTAAATTATATATTCTCATAGCATCATCTACCTCTCCCTTTAACATTTATTATCATTACAGTTTTACATTTGTATACAAATATTTGATGAATGTCTGACTTCTCCACTGGACTATAAAAGCAGATACCATGTCTGTTTTCTGTGATCATTTAACTTCACTAGCTAGAATGTGGCTTGGCTTACAGTGGAAAATAAATATTTGTTTCATTAATTAACTGATTGATTACTGTAAAGAGAACTCCATGGTAACTAAGACAATTTATTTGTTTAACATCCATCTCCAAGAGCTTTCTAGTCAATTGATTTTGGATTTAGGCTCTCCAATATAATCTCACTTGGAAGTTTATAGACAACATTGTATAGCTGTGAAATGAAAAGTACAGGGATGTTTTAAGTATATGTCAACACATGGTTATGTTCATGTGAAATAATGTGAAAGGAAGATTCAGATAGATGATACAGTGGTAGGGAATATACTGATTGAAATCGTCAAGGAGTAGGACTTTGGACTGGTTGGATATCTTTTTCCCCGATGGCAGCATTATACATTATTTACCTAGTTGAAATCCCCATTTTCCTTTTGTGCTTTTCTGCTTCTTACATCCTGTTTGGCTTAAAGATTTATTTGCTACTGTGGCCACTTGCTTTTGGATAAGAGGCAGGAATTTTTTTACCAGCTTATACCTCAGAAAGCAAAGACCGTTGTCTAGTGTCCGTACTGTACTAAGTGGTCCAGCGTTAGGGCAGGGCAATTTCTCCCCAGCCTTAGGGAACATCATACTAGTAAAAATAATTTATCATCAGATGGGAGGAAAGGCTATTCTCATCTCTTCTTTTATAGCAGGACTGGATCCCTTCTTCTGTGTATACTTTCTTTCCCCTTCCTTAGATGTGGATAATCCACTCCTCCTGCAATTCCCTTGGGATTATAGCATGAGTGAAAGTGAAATGACTTTATATGAATAAAGATGAAAATAGAGATTTAATTGATATAAGTTTAGTTTCTTTGCTACTGTAAAGAGGTCTGGGTTCACCATTTATCTGTAATATCCACTAAAGTTGAAGTAATAATTTCTTCAACTGGCTAATAGCATTGCTGACATCAAAATTTTGAAGACTGGTTAAGAAAATTGTGCATGTACACTTTATATACTTTAGTCAAGTTGTGATGTACTTTAAGGTACACTTTATATACTTTAGTCAAGTTGTGATGTACTTTTTACATCTGTCATGTGAATTAATAGAACAGTTGATGGAGTTAGGAGAAAGAAAAGGAAAAATGTTGGGAGTAGTGATAAGAGGACACAGCATTTTGGTAAACCTGAAGAATTTGATCTTGTTCCCATTCTAGGTGCTGATTTTCTATTGTATTCATATTAGTTTCGCCTTTTCCCCTTTCACTTTAAACATAGTCCTAATGCTTAACACAGTGCCTTGCGTATTCCAGCCTCTTGGTAAATAAATATCGGTTAGTTGGGTGAATGAAGGAATAAATGGATGAAGAGTGAACAGACGAATGACAAAATTCTAGACTTCACAATTCAAATAAGTACATACATCAACTTCCCTGATCAAGATTTGAAAGCAGAGGGATCTTTTAATAATTTAGATAATATAGAGGAAAGTATTGATTTGATCTAAAAATTTAACAATTGAGTTTTCAGAAATTGGATTATTGTGCCCAAAGTGCAAGTGGTAAACAATAAAATGAAGTAAGATAGCTTGAAATGAGCTTATATTATGAGATATGTATTCTTTAATGTTGGAATAATTGATGTCTAGGCTCAGAAGATAATTTTTAAAAGACTTTGCTCTTATTTTAACTTGGCTTATTTTAGAATTTTACCAAGTAGAAATTGGTTTGAACTTTCTACTTAAAATGAAGCAGTTTTTATTTCTGAATTATCATAGATTTTAATTTAGTAAGAGTGAATCAGTGGATTTTACTATATATCATTTATTGGGTTTAATGCTATATATCTAGAAAATATTTTTCCCTACATTTGGATCTGTGGGATTAATATCATTTGCTGGTTTTACTTGTTTGAATATTTGAATATGGTTTGTGGTAAAGAGTGTGGGCTATCGTGTCAGACAGATTTGAGTTTAAATCCCCAGTGTGCTACTTCTTAGCAAATTATTCAATTTGTCAAACCTTAGTAGAATCTTATGTAAAATGGAGATGATGCCTACTATTAAGAGGTTCTTGGGAGATATAATACACTAATATATGTGAAGTGCTTAGCACAGTGTCTGGAATATAGCAGGCATTCAGTAATTTGGAACAATCATTTTCCCCCGTTGTGTTTTGTTCTGCAGCTTTCCCCACAAATAAACCAGATAAAGATGCAAGACATGTAGTAAAAGTGGTAAGTATTGCTCCTAAATGTGTGTTTCACATATATTTGACTTTTTCTTTTCTGCTTTACTTTATTTTTGTAAAAATGTTTCTCATCATAGTTTTCATAATTTTACTTATGGTTAAACCTAATGTTATGATACAGTTTCACATTGTTAAAATGTAAAGACTAGAGAACTTTGTTCTTCTGTGTTAACACTCATAATCCTTGTACTGTGCAGCTATATATTCTCTCCTGCTCCCTCCCACACTTCCCATTTTCCTTTCTCTCTGCCCTAAATGGTATGGTCATTTCAGGTGGGGTGAGGTTTTATTTTTGTTTGTATCCCCTGTGCTTAGTGCAGTGGATGAAATATAGTGGATACTCAGGAAAGGTGTCACGTAGAATGAACCACCAGGTAGTCTGCAGTGTGCCATATCCCTGACGTGCAGGTTGGTACACATTGAGTGCCTGTGTATGTGTACAGTTCTCAGTGCTTTTAGTAAGTTCTTTCAAGAAGAAGACTACTTTCATGTGTAAGAGTGTATAGAGATAGCATTACAATATGTTAAATTTAAAAATGAGATTCTTCAAGTTTATTTAGTGCTCTTTTGGAGATTTTTTAGTGGAAATCTGCTGCCTGTGTTTCATAAGAAATGATTCAAGTACTATTGTATAATACATATGTATATTCATATTTTCACAGTTGCAATACCAATTTTATCTTTACAATTTTAAAAAAATAAAATTAATTGTTCTTTCTTTTATAGGAGTATCAAGAAAATGGCCCATTATTTTCAGAACTTAAATTTTACCAAAGAGCTGCCAAAAAAGAATGTAGTAAGTAAAATTAGCAAAGCAAGTTACTTCCATATATATGCTTGCTAAAGTGAGTGTAAATATTTTTGTCTTTTTCTAGCCTTCTGGAAAATTCTTTTCAATTAGAAATGTTATTGTAAAATGATTCAGTTAACTGTTAAAACATATAAAAAAGACAGATGGTGTACAAGTTTTGATATTATGTAATAATGGGTTATGCATTTCAAAGTTGTTTCTACTACTTTACATAAAATGTTGTGTTGTTGATCCAAGCTACCAAGAGTTCTCTAAGTGTAAAAGATAATAGGATGAAATTAATTTTTAAAAATCAAACCATTTGGATAGGAAGAATACAAGAAAAATAATTAAAATGGGCAGATATATAAACAAAAGGAATGATCTTAGAATGGATTAGGGTAAGGTGTATAGATATGATTAAATGTTAAGATTTAGAAATTAAGTTAAAAATGCTCAAATGTGAATGTCGGGAGGTTAATTGGAACTGAGTATCAGATATAAAAAGCTACCAATTAGAGGATTTGAATGTGAAGTGAATATGAGCAGAACTGAAGAATAAAAGCATTTAATAAGCACTGTAAGTTGTATATGGACTGAGTAAAGCTTTAAGGAAGCTGGTTTGAGTAACGACTTTATAGTCAAGGTCCTTTACATTATGCTTAGAAAAAAGAATGATGAGTCCTGCCTCAATAATTAACTTTTTTCTCCCTAATAAAACCTTCTAAGCATTAAGACTGTAGTCTTTACTGACTGTTTTAAGTATGTCAGGGTGACAAATAAAATTCATTAAACTTATTGTTTATCAGTAGAGATGTCTTAAACATTAAACATACATGGTAGAAAAGTGAAAAATTAAATAAGTTACCTGATTGTTTTAAGTGGATTTGATTTTTTTTAAAACTAAATTTAATCAAAACCATTTCTGTGTAATATGCTTTTAGAATACGATGATTTTTCTGCCCAATTTCTGTTATTTGACTACAGTGGCTTTAGATTTTTAAGTAATAAGGAAGAAAAAGCCATCTCTCTGCTGATCCTGTGGTGGTTAGCATGTTATATTTAAAAATTTAGCATATAAGGGAATTAATTTTTTTCATGAATAGAAACATTTGTGTATATGATAATGCATTTTATGACTGTGACTACTTTTGGTTATAATTTATTTAATTTGAAATTTCTCTATATGGCCTGGCTGCCGTGGCTCAGTGGTTGAGCATCGACCTGTGATCCAGGAGATTGTGGTTTGATTCCCAGTCAGGGCATATGCCCGGGTTGCAGGCTCGATCCCCAGTAGGGGGTGTGCAGGAGATAGCTGATCAGTGACTCATCACTGACGTTTCTATCTCTCTTTCCCTCTCCCTTCCTCGCTCGGAAATCAATAAAAATATTTTTAAAAAAATAATAAAAAATAAAATTTATATGTATTTGTGTTAATTATAGTGATAAATGAAATTTGAAGCCATTAGATATATTTAATTTCTAAAAAAATTTTTTTAGGAAGGTCTAATTTTTATTTAGGTTAGCTAAATAGGTTTTAGCATTAATGTAAAAGTAAGAAATACCTTTATAAAAACTTTTTTTTTTCTGTTAAATTTGTCTTTGCAGTCAAAAAATGGATAGAACGAAAACAACTTGATTATTTAGGAATTCCTGTGTTTTATGGATCTGGTCTTACTGAATTCAATGGAAGAAGGTAAAATGGAATTATTATAATTAAATATCATCCAATCACTATTACTTATGTGGTCTCTTAATTATCTGTTGCTATATGACAAATTATCCAAACTGTAGTGGCTTCTAACAACAAACTGATATTATCTTAATTTCTGTGGGTCAGTTATCTGTACCTGGCTTAAGTGAATGGTTCTAGCTCAGGACTTCTTATGAGGATGTAGTCAGCTGTCTATTGGGCTGCAGTCATCTCAAGGCTAGACTGGGAAGGTTCTGCTTTAAAGGTCACTTATGTGGCTGTTGGCAGGCCTAAGATCTGCTTCTAAATGTACTCATGTAAGTGTTGGCAGTCCTCATAGTCTCACCATGTAGGTCTCTCCGTAGGCTGCCCCATTGTGTTACAAAGACATGGCAGCTGGCTTCCCCTAAAGCAAATAACTGAAGAGAGGGAGGAAGAGAGCACATGCACATGCATACACACACACAAGCATGCATCCAAGAAGAAAGTCACAGTCTTTTTATGGTCTAATCTGAGAAGTAATAGCCTATCATTTCTACTGTATTCTCTTTTCGAGGAGCAAGTCACTAAATGTACCCCATACTCAAAAGACGAGAATTATGAAGTGCTATCTCTTGAAAAGAGGCAAAACAAATAATTTTTAGAAATAATTTTAAAACTACCAAATATAACTAATCATCATGTATAAATAAAAAACAAAATGAACAGTAGTCTTGTAACAAAGTAAAGGGCTGCCAAGAAGGGACTGAAGAGCTAATCAAGCTACATTCGTATCATGCAATATTATGCAGCTCATTAAGTAAATCAGTTAGAGCTACACCAGTTGCCTTGGAAGGATTTCACTGAGATGCTACTGAAAAACGTATGATGCAGTAAAGTGCATAAAATAAGATCACATTTTTATGGAAAAAAGACAAAGGTTTCTATATGCCTGTGTTTGTGTGTCTATACACAGATAGACTTAGACTAGGGTCCTATGTGGGTAAGTGAAGGGAAGAAAAGGGTAGAGGGTCCCAGACAGAAGAGAAGAAGGGTAGAGGGTGCCAGACAGAAGAAAGGGAAAAGTGCATTTCTAAAAAAGCATGTTTACAAATGTATAGAGACAGTAAATATGATTTTATAAGGTCAAAAACAAATATAAATATAATTTTATGTATAGACAATTTGCTCAGGCTCTATGGTGAGAAGGTGATGGAGTCAAAATGAACTAGATTCAGGACTATTAGATTTAGAAAGACTTTTTTTCATGATCTCAGTGTGGGTGGTTCAGCCCAGCATTCTCCTCTAGGAAACTAACTGCAAAGTAAAATACTGAATAATATCTTTCTTCAAAAGGGCAGCATTATTAATGTACATTAATTCTCTCATGGTGCATATTGCATCGTTCTCTGTTGTTAGATTGGGTATATTTTTTCTTGTTTTAATTCATAATTAGAAAGTTTGAAACATTGCTATCTTAAGATCTCTTTTTTTAAGTTTGTTTTTTATTGTTGACAGTATTAAAGATGTCATCATCTTTTTACAGTTACAGATTTATGGTAATGGAAAGACTAGGAATGGATTTACAGAAGATCTCTGACCAGAATGGTACTTTTAAAAAGTCAACTGTCCTGCACCTAGGTGTTCGAATGGTAAGAAGGAATAACTTATTTCATGTGCTCTATTTTTAGATTATTTACTTGTTACAAATTGTTGCCCTTTGTGGAATTATCAGAGTGAAGGATTATTGCCCTAGAAATGTCAGTTATTGAGAGCAGAGGCTATTTTGGTGAAATTGATAACAGTGGGCTCTGTAAATGACAGAATGTGCTGTGTTTGGCTCTACAAACTCAATTAGGCATTGGTTCTACAGTCTGATTTTTCTGCACAGCTTTGTTTTACATATCAGAACAAGCTTGCATTGCTATACGAATAACATCTCTTTTGTCAGTTATATTTATAACAATGCAAACTACAGCAGATTATATTATTTTCCATACTAAACACATGATGGTATGGGGGTGCTATAAAGTTTTTATTGTGAGTTTGGGATAGTGGCAGTAATTAGTGTGGCAATGAATAATATATACTTTGCCAAATAAGAAGCAATGAAATCTTAATAGCACCCATGCACACATTTTGTTTATACCACATATTTGTCTTATCTTGTTTGTGTTTGGTTTGCCTAAGCTCCATTTTATTTTTTTCCATTTTAAATGGAATAAGACTATTTATGCCATGTTGGGATGTGGCAAGTAGAACTCATTAATTTTCCCATTTGTCCATTCATCCATCTAGCCAGCCAGCAAATGTTTATTGAGCACTGGATGTAGGTAACACACAAGGCCCAAGGGATTCCAAGATGAAGCTAAGGTTTATTCTGTTACTACAGAGGGAGAATGCCTTTCTCTGTGCTCATGGACATGGTGTTTTGTCCTGGGGTCCCTGGAACTTGATTTATAATTATTCTTTGGATAAGGAATTGCTGAGCGGGCTTCTTAATTATTTCACTTTAGATCTCAGATTTTACTGTGTTTCTCCTCTTTGCACAGTATGATTTGGCCACCAGGCTCTCAGGAGCATAGGCATAGGTGCTGTTGAATCTTGGTTTCCTTTCGTCAGAAGTTCAGTTAAAACACTTGATATTTGAGGGTCATTTTATTCAACTTTTCCCAGGATGAGCAGCCAGGATATGTGATATTTAAGAAAAGATAAATAGCCTGGCTGGGCGTGGCTCAGCGGTTGAGCATCTGCCTATGATCCAGGTGATCAAGGTTCGAGTCCCGGTCAGGGCACATGCCCAGGTTGTGGGCTTGATCAGTGACTCTCTCATCATTGATGTTTCTGTCTCTCTCTCTCCCTCTCCTTTCCTCTCTCTGAAATCAATAAAGATATATTTAAAAAAAAAAAGAAAAAAAAAAAGATAAATAAAGAATTGTGAAGTATGTCACTTTGTCATTGTTAATATGAAAAAATAAAATTACATGTTATTCTAAACTCAAATGTGCAAGTTGATCATAGGTTCTAAATAGACATCGGTATAACCTTATGCAATTCTTTTCACAGTTGGATGTACTGGAATATATACATGAAAATGAATATGTTCATGGTGACATAAAAGCAGCAAATCTACTTTTGGGTTACAAAAATCCAGATCAGGTAAATATTAAGCTTTGCTTTCATAAAGAAAGGGTCCTCAGAGCACCATACTGAGATATTCAAGAAACAAACTCCTAACTGAGACAGGTTTACAAATGAGGACTTAATATGATGAATGTTGTAATTTATCTTACCTTGCTTATCTAGCTTAATGCACTAAACTAATAAGTAATTAAGATGGGGAACTTGAGACTCAGAAGGGTTAAATAATTTGTTAATGGGCAAATAGTTAAGAAGTGGCTGAATAGGAATTTGACCTTCTGAGCAAATACAAAGACCCGTCAATATCCAGTGGGAGAAGAGATGGATTTTATGCAGAGAAAAAAATAAAAAGCTATCACATTAGCTTCTCTACTATGTAAATAATTAAGTTTTAAATAGAGCAGCATTTCCAATATAACTTTCTTTGTTGATGGACATACTCTGTATATTACTGTCCAGTACCGTTGCCACTACCTGCATGTGGCCATTACACATTTAAAATGTGGCTACACCCCCAAATGCTGGCAGGAACTTGGAGCAACAGGAACTCTTACTCATTGCTGTTGGGAGTGCAGAATGGCTTGACCACTGTGGGAGATGATTTGGTGGTTTATTACAAAGTGAACATATTTTTAATATATGATCTAGCAGTTATACTCCTTGGTGTTTCCCCAAAGCTGAACACTTCAAACTATACAGAAACCTACACATAGATGTGTATAGCAGCTTTATTTGTAACTGCCAAAAAATGAAGCTACCAAGATGTCCTTTAATAAGTGAATGGATAAATAAACTGTGGCATGTCGAGATAGGGCAGTAATACTCAGTGTTAAGAAGAAATGAGCAAGACAGTGAACAGATGTGGAGGAACCATAAGTAGTGCATGTTACTAAATGAAAACCTGTATAACTCTAGTTACATAACATTTTAGAAAAGGCAAAACTATGGAGACATTAAAAAGATCAGTGACTGCCAAGAGTTAGAGGGGAGGGAGCGATGAATAGGTGGAGCACAGGAGTTTTAGGGAAATGAAACTTCTGTATTATACTGCAGTGGCGTATACATGTCATTATACATTTGTCAAAGCCCACAGAATGTACAACATCAAGAGTGAACTCTGACGTATACTGTAAACTTTTGGTGACGATGTGTCAATGTAGAATTACCCGTTGTAACATATGTATACTGTGGTGTGGGATGTTGTTGGTGGGGGAGGCTGTTTTTGAGGTGGGGGGAGGTAGTGGGTATATGAGAACTCACTGTACTTTCTGCTCAGTTTTGCCTAAGTTGTTCTAAATTTACCAAAATTGAATCTAAAACTGTTCTAAAAATTTTTTAAAGTGATTCCATAATCAAGTTAGCACATGCATTGCCTTACATAGTTAACCTTTTTTCCATTTAGTTTTGTGGTAAGAACACTTAAGACGTACTCTTTTAGCAAATTTGAAGTATACAGCATTATTAACAATCATCGCCGTGCTATACATTAGATTCTCAGAACTTACTCATCTTCTAACTAAAAGCTTGTACCCTTTGCCCAGCATCTCCCCATTTCCTCCACCCCCCAGCCTCTGACAGCCACTGTTCTACTCTCTGGTTCTTTAAGTTTCACTTCTCCACATCCCGCATATAAGGAGATCATACAGTATTTGTCTTTCTGTGTCTGGCTTATTTCCTTAGCATATGTCCTCTGGGTTCTTTCATGGTGTCACGAATAACATATTTCTTTCTTTTTTACGGCTGAATAATATTCCACTGCACGTTATATATGTCACATTTTCTTGATTCATTTATCCATCAGTGGACACTAAGTTTTGTTTCCATGTCTTTTATGAATAATGATGCAGTAACATGGGAGTGCAGATATCTCTTCAAGATAGTGATTTCTTTAACTTTGGATATATACCAGAAGTGGGGTTGTTGGATCATATGGTAGTACTATTTTTTACATTTTTTTTGAGGAACCTCCATATTGTTTTCTATAATAACTACTAATCTACATTCCCACCAGCAGTACACAGGGTTCCCTTTTCTCCACACCCTCACCAATCTTATCTCTTGTATTTTTGATAATAGCCACCCTAACAGGTGTGAGGTGATGTCTTATTGTGGCTTTGATTTTCATTTCTTGGCTATTAATAATGTTGAGCACCTTTTCATATACCTGTTGACCATTTGCATGTCTTCTTTAGGAAAATGTCACTCAGGTTCCTTGCCCAGTCTTTAATTGGGTTATTTGGGTTGGTTTTTGTTGTTGTTAATGAGTTCTTATGTATTTTGGCTATTAACCCCTTATTAGATATATGGTTTGTAAATATTTTCTCCCATTCCATAGATTGCCCTTTTTTTGTAGATGGTTTTCTTTGCTGTGTACAATTTTTTAGTTTGATGTAGTCTTACTTGTTTGTTTTGTTTTGTTGCTTTTGCTTTTGGTGTAAATTGCAAAAAATCATTGCTAAAACTTGTGTTTATAGATTGGAAGAATTAATATTATTAAAATAACCATACTACCCAAAGCAATCTACAGATTCAGTGCAATCCCTATCAAAATTTCAATGTCATTTTTTATAGAAATAGAAAATACAATCTTAAAATTTGTAAGGAACCACATAAAACCCTGAATAGTCAAAGAACTCTGGAGAAAGGAAAAAGCTGGGGACATTATAGTTCCTGATTTTAAACTATGTTACAATGCTAAAGTAATTAAAACAGTATGCTATTGGTATAAAAACAGACAGACCAATGGAACAGAACAGGGAGCTCAGAAATAAACCCAGGCATACAGGATCAAATGATCTTTGACCAGGGCACTAAGAATATACAGTGAGAAAGCTGGATATCCACTTGCAAAAGAATGAAATTAAACTCTTATCTTACACTATACATAGAAATTAGCTCCAAGTGGATTAAAGACTTAAATGTAAGACCTGAAATGATAAAACTAGTAGAAAACATAGGGGAAAAGCTTAATGGTAATTAATTTAAATTTTAATAACCACATGTGGCTAGTAGCCACCGTATTAGGAAAGATTTAAAAAGTTAAAAAAAATAGTCTTTAAAAGAAAGTTACAAAAAATATAGTTGAATGTTTAACTGAACTTTACACGAGGAAAGAAGTTTCTAAATGTACAACAGAAAAAAATCTTAGAAAATACTGAGAAGTTTCCAATTTTAAGCTGTCTGTATATTTTAAAAATTGAAAAAATAAAAGGCAAATGAGAAAGTGGGAACTTACATTACAACACATATTTGAGGATATATAGCAAGATCTAAAAAGTTAATAAAAACACCACATACTTTGTTAAAATAGTGACTAAAAGGAATGAATAGACAGAACAGAGAAGAAATAGGACTCTCCAAGAAATGGATGAGAAAAAGTTCACTATCACTAAAAACTAAGAGACAAGCAAATCAAAACAGTGAGGCAACATTTTAAAAGAACTTATCAGTTGGAAACTAACGAATCTCTGAGGGAAGGGGGCATTAACCAAAGAATTATATGTGTCCACACATAACCCATGGACACAGACAGTAGTGTGGTGAGGGCCTGGGGGTGCAGTGGGGGTGGGAGAGAGGGGTCAGTGGGGTAAAAAGGGGACGTCTGTAATACTTTTAACAATAAAGGTAAAAAAAACAAAAACAGTTGGGAAAGGTCTAAAAATAATAATCTGATTAGATCAAGGCTGATGAGATATAGAATGCCAGTGGGAATGTAAATCAGTGGGAGTAGAAGAAATTAAGTTAATGAAAGGGCAATTTGGCAATATGTATTAAGAGCCTTTACAAGTCTGCATACTTTTTTAAAGGATAGGTTTATTAATATGTAATTTACAAACAGTAATATTCACCCTTTCAAATATATAGTTTGATGTGTTTTGACACATGTATGTCATATAACCACCATTATAATCAAGATACAGAGCATTTCTGTCATTCTCAAAAGTTCTCTTATTTACTCCGCTGCAGTCAGTACCCTTGTCTCACCCCCAGTCCCTGGGAGTGATTTCTGCCCCGATATTTTTTGCATTTTTAGGGATGTCATATAAATTAAGTTACTGGATATGTACTCTTTTTTGTCTTGCTTCCTTCATTTAGCCAGATGTTTTTTATCTTTTATTTTGTTATTATTATTTTTAACCCCTCACCCTAGGATATTTTTTCCCGTTGTTTTTCAGAGAGAGTGGAAGGGAGAGACTTTGGAATATAATATAGTGTTGCACAATTGATTGTTAGAAAGTTACGCTTATGGATTCTGATGTAGCATTTGGAAAATGAATGTGTTTTCTGATTTCATTGCTTATAATGGTATTACCAGGAATGATATTGAGTGGTGGTTTTGCCAACTAAGTACTACCCATTTAGTTGTGCCACCAGTGTCACTAGTGAAGCAAGTTGAACTGTTTTAAGTAAAGCAAGGTTTCTACACACTTTTTAATTTCAGTGGTGCAGGTGCTTTCACATATGGAACGCCACGCCTTGGTTGATCAGAAGCACATTGTTTTCGCACCAGCTTCTATTCCTCCTCTTACGTGAAGCCTTTCTTAATGGTTTTGGTCTCTACTGATCTCCTTTTGTGATTTCCTTTAGCTTCTAATGTGTACTTAAACACAGGAGCACTCAGGTCTCACTTGTCTGTGCTGTCTTATGTCCTGAACTAGAATGAACTCCTTGAGGCCTGTAGGTAGGTGCACTTCTTTCTTTTGTATTCCTCACAACACATAGCTTGGTGTCCTTTTGGAATAGTCCTTCAAGAAATACTTCACTGACTTCTCGGGACAGGAGGCCAGTCTCGATGCAGGTACCCGTCATGTCACTTAGTGGCCGGACCCCACCACGCTTCAGGTTTTTCTGCCCCCAAACCGCCTGTTCAGTTGAAGAGGAGGCCTCAGAGATAGAGAAGGACAGTTTTTTCATGTCCGTATCTGGGGTGATAAATGTGACCTAGGAAACCTGTCATGACTTCAGGTTGTGCTGTACTGAAAGTCAGGAGATCCAGCTGTAGTCCCAGGTCTGATATT